TCTGGAATAGGGAGTGTCAGCAGCTGCAGTTGTGTCTTGCCTCAGGGTCTGTAATGCGAGCTTTCCAAAACCCCTGGAAGGGGCTGGGGATTTAGCTCAGCGGCAAAAAGCGCCTGCCTGGCAAGCGCAAGGTCGTGAGTTCGGTTCCCGGTACCGGAGAAAAACCAAAAAAAAAAACAAAAAACAAAACCCCTGGAGAGGACTGTGCTCAGTAGCTCGACCCTCACAAAGCCCAATCCCCAACAAGATGCCCCGTGCTGCCCCTGTGCTAGATGCTCCTAACACAGTGCTGCCTGAACTTAGCAAGCTACCGACTCCACTTGGCTTTGTCGCCAGGGACTTGCTCATGCTGTGGGGACCCAGCAGTCAATGAACAGTACTATTCTTATCTCCTTGCACAGCTGAGGAAAATGAGTCCGCGAGGATTGGTTAAAGACATAAAGCTATTAAGTGGTGGGACTTGGGTTCAAATCCTGCCATACCGATTTCAGGAGGTGTGCGCCTAGTCATGTCCACGTTGTCTCCCTGCAACCTGTGAAGTCGAGCCATGCAGTCACTTGTTCCTCTGCACCGATGGCCCTCCCTGTGGTAATAATCTCAGAGAAATCTGGACTAAAAAGGCTCCCTGAGCTAGGCCACTTTTAAGTTTCCTGGAACCAGGATGGTAGAGCTTTCAGGCTATCCAAACCTGAAGCTGCTCCTGCTGGCTTAGACCAGTGCACAGAAAGTGCTGAGTGACCTGGGTCTCTAACTGCTCTGCTGTGAGTCCACCTGAGCCCTTTCCCCAGAGCTGCCCACCCGCTGTGTGCCTGCCATTGAGTCACCTGCTCCCCACCTCCCATGGAGGCCAAGCTGTTCTCCTTTCTCCCTCCCTGGCCTGGTACCTGCCATGTCTTGTCCTATCCAGGATACTCAGCATCCTGGAAGGTCTGCAGGCCACACCCTGGCAGTGAGAATCAAGGGCAGGCGGGCACATGCTGCTGGTGGGTGGGGATGGTCTCTCACCTCACCCAACAGCTCCTCCTAGATGGAAAATCAATGCAAGCCATGAAAGAGCTTGTGTCTCAGGCTGCCTGTCCTTACTGCCTGTGGTTTGTCTCTGCTGCCAAAGGTGGCCCTGGGCCAAGACCTTCCCAGACAGGCCCTTGGAAAGCAGAGCCCTCTGAGAGGAAGTGGTGAGCCAGGTAGGGTGGGAGGCTCCGCCCCATGGCCCATTAACTCCTCTGCTTCAATTCACATAGGCTCCCACAGACCAAACAGTTCAGGTCTGCTGTGAGTTGGTTTACAGGAGCTGATAGAGGGCTTAAAACCCCAGTCTCCATGTGCTTTCAGCAGACCAAATCCAAGGTCTTGCTCACAAGCTGTTGGAAATTCTGCAGGCAGAACCACTCCCCTCGCCCTGCTCCAGTCCCAGGCTAAGCTTCAGTCCACTCTTTCACCATCTTCTTTGCTGTTCCTGTTAACAGCAGCAGTCCTCCCTTATCTGCAGTTTCATTTCAAGTTTTAGTTACCAGAAGTCAACTTAGTCTCAAAACATTAAATGGAAATTTCCAGGAGCAAATAATTCGTAAGCTCCAAACTGGGTGTTGTTCAGAGTAACACAATGAAATTTCACATCCTCTGGCTCTCCCCACCGGGACATGAATCATCCCTTTGTCCAATGTATCCACACTATATGTGCTACCCGCCCATTAGTAGTCCCTGGCCATCTCAGCTATCAGATCCATCATCACTACTGCAGTATCACAGTGTTTGTGTTTACATAATCCTTATTTAAGTTAATAATGATCCCGAAGTCACATTTCAGATGTGCCAAAGAAAGTAATAAAATATTGCCTTTAAGCAAAATGTTAAGTCTTCAACTTCCTAAGAAAAAAAATGCAACCAGCATCACCTAAACCAGATGATCCCCTTCTAACCATGTAGAGGAGGGTCAGCAGAAGCCTAGCACTATGCCACAATGCCTGTGTAATTTGGCTTACTTAATTAATCTCACCATGCAGGCACCAGGTCATCTAACAGTATCACAAAAAGAAGACTGCGTCAGTATATTTTGAGAGGAAAAAAACAACCGCATTACATAACTTATTTACCCTTGCTCTATGATGTTGTTGTTAATTTCTTTTTGTGCCTAGTTTACAAGTTAAACATTATCATAAGTGTGTGTGGACAGAATACTGGGGGTTCAGCACTATCCTCATTTTGGACATCAAGTGGGGGTCTTAGAACATGCATTTTAGGCATCACAAAGGAAGTGTGGACTACTGTACTGCTGAATAACCAGAAGAGGGATACCAGAATACGTCTCCCCAGAAATGTATCATTGAGCTGAAGACCATTAAGCAGCAGCGGATACAGGAAACCTCCCTGCTCTCCTTTCATTTGCCTAAAAGCCAGACACGGTTTATAAGGACTTCCACCAAGTAGAACAAAGATTAACCACAGAAGACAACTTTATGCCCTTCATTGCCTGGAGATGGAACTGAGGTGGTCAGAGACCACCATGAGACCCAAGGACACTTAACCTGCATGCCCGGGCCCTTAACTGTTACTCATTAAAATCATGACTTGTGCTTCCATTGGAGGCTGTTGGGGACGTGAAAGTAGCTTTTGCTAAAAACAGCGACTCTTTACTTGGACCTACACATGTAACTAAAAGAAACACAAAGCTTGTCGTTTATTTTGTAGGTGTCTCTTTCATTATCTTAAAACTTTGGTTCAGACCCTGCTCAGCCCTACATCTGGGAGAGTTAGTCATGTGGGGAGGGCCCATCTAAGAACTGGCATTACAAGGCTGACTAGCTCCAAATTTACACAGTCTTTCTCATCCCTCTTAAAGACTGACGGCATCTGGAAAAGAGATTTACAGGGATATTTAACTGCCAATGGGCACCTAAAAGTTCCCCAGTATTTCTCTAACCCTGCAGACACCTGGGATTCCAGTGGAGCCTCCAACACTGTGACTGTCCTAAGCAAAAGCAGTCATCTCAGGTAGACCAGTTGCCCACCCAAGTGGTAAGGCCTTCTCAGGGGAGAAGTCCTTAAAACCAGAACTGAGATAATGGCCAGCCAGACCCTAGCCCACTGCAGCTACCACTTAAAAGCTGGCCTTGGCCCTTTGTTAATGCGCCGGTCTGATCCACTCCACCTGAACTACACCTCCTTCCCCACTTTCTCACTTACTAAATCCGCCTGTGCCTCTCACTGACAAGTCCTGAAATCCTTTCTGTGAGAGGACATCAAGGACCTGTTGGACTGGGACCTCCTTACAGGGACCTCCTTGGGCCCCACCTGGTGGTGATACCGGCAGAATCTACATTAACAAGCCTTGCTGACAGTCTTCAGTGGCCTTCCCGTACGTACGCTCCCAGAGACTCGCAGGCCCTTTACCGTGTCTTGTCACAGCTCTAAGACTTTATTGTGCTTTGTTGAGCATCTATGTCAGCTGGAGCTCAACTCCACCTCTCTGAGAAGAACTCACGGTCTGGGTATCTCCCACGGATGTATGAAATACGTCAACACGTTTCCATTTTCTTGTTAATGTCTTTTGTTACAGGAGTCTTTCCCTTAGAGCTCAGAAAATGATGCACCAAAGCACAGCCCCTGCATGCTGAGTATCTTGAAGCACAGAAGCAGCCTTGAGGTCTCTTCGTCCTGCTTCCGACTCCTACTTTCTTGACGCACAGGAGGCGGCTTTCTCCCAAGTTCCCTCATCTGACTAAGGGACGTTCCTTCGGAAGGAATGCTATCGTCCCACCCTGCCCCCTGCCATCTCCTCAAACAGGCAAGAGGAACTCGTAGGAAAGAGGGCTACAGTAGGCGCCACACCAAAGCCGGCACAAACACTTCAGGCTACTGTCTGCTCTTTGGACTCATTCCTGTCCCTAAAGATCACTTACTGTTCCTCTAAACACATCCCACTTCTCTCTCTTGTGGAGAAGGTCACTGTGTTATTGGTTTTTTTTTTTTTTTTTGGTTTTTCTCCGGTACCGGGAACCGAACTCACGACCTTGCACTTGCCAGGCAGGCGCTTTTGCCGCTGAGCTAAATCCCCAGCCCCGTCATTGTGTTATTGAATACGCTTTTCCTGCAGTGTCCCCGTGCTGGCAGTAGAACCACCGACCTCTTCTGTCAATCTGTTGTCAGCTTGGTTCTGCAGACTCAATTACTGAATCTTCACAAAGCAGAATGAAAGTTCCCTTCCCCCCTTGGTAAGTATGAAACTACGGCCATTGAAGGAAAAAAGTATTTTTCTTGCCAAGTGTGACAGCTCACAATTGTAATGCCAGCACTCGAGGAAGCTGAGGCAAGTTCAAGCCAAGCCTGGGCAATGTAAGGAGATCGTGTCTCCAAGTTTTAAAAGGAAATTATTTTTTAAAGGGCTTGGGGTGTAACTCAGTGTAACGGCCTTGGGTTCAGTCTCCAATATCAAACCGCCCCCACCTTTTTTTCTGGTTTTTTTTTCTTTTATAGAACTTATCCCAAAACAATAAGATTTTTTTCCTGGCTGGATTCTGCGGGTCCAGAGGCTTCTGCCAAGGGGTCCGAGGCGGCAGGGTGGGCGTGGCCTCTTTCCACGAGGTCCTTCCGGGAGTCTGGGTTTCTTCCCATAATGCAAAGAGCAGAATCCACCAGGCTCCTTGCGGCCTAGGCTTGGAAATCTCACAAGGTCAATTCTGCCCCTTTCTCCTGCTCTGACTGAGGGGAGGGGAACAATTTTCTCTGCTCTGATGGTATGGGCTCCTGTAGCGAAGATCACCCTCTGAAATGTACTCCATCCTGTAGTGAGCCCTTGCGGAGCTGTCCGTGGCCCCGTCGCTGAGGCTTCCTCCCGGGCTGTGACACAAGGCCACCGGGCACGAGTGGGCAGTGCTTGCTGAGATCGAGGACTCCCCATCGGGACGGGTGGGAGCTGAGCACCCACTTTTCCCAAGGCCCCTTCTCGCTTTTGATCCTGCTCTTGCTGTCTTACTCAGCGCTCTACAAAACCAGCAGCTAAATTTTTACATGACAGCTTTTTATTCAAATTCGTGCTTTCAGATATACATGTCCTCATTTAATCTTTGCAACAATGCAGTTGGAACCCAGTTTATACATAAAGAAACTGCAGCACAAGGAGTTAGTGAATGTGTGAAGATCACACGTCTGGTAGACGACCCCAAGGAGAGAGAGACCCAGGTCTGGCTGATTCCAAAAGTACCTAGAAGGGTTGCTTCGCTATAACACAAAGCCCTCAAAGACAGAACTCACTCATCTGTAAATAAGCTTGCAAGTCAGTCTACTTCCATGCAAATCTAGATCTGCCCCACAAACTTAGTGTCATTTATAAAATACTGCTGCATGGAGAGAATAAAGTAAATACTGCACAGTTCCACAGACGAGTGTTCATTCTGCCATTAAGAGCAGCGTCTTGCTTTTTCGGTCATTTTGGTAAGCGGCTCTAAGCAGAAGGAGGAAGGAGGCTGCTGGAGATGTGGTCACTTTCAGCAGCCCAGTCCCCACTGTCAGCCACAGACTGTGAACAGCCGTTATGATCTCAATTCCCAGGACTTACCGGAGAAGAGACTGAGGCGGGATCACCATGGGACGTGGGACTCACCCGGACGGGAAAAGCAAAGCCCAGGGAGGGAAAGAGCGGCTTGGGGAGGAGTAGCAAGGGCGACAAGGCCGGCTCTCCGTGTCTTTTATTGCACACGGAATCCGCAAAGCTGCTGACAGTGTGGCTGCAGGTCCAGCCGCGGCTGCTGTCTGGTGCTTGCAGTGGCGTTCTGCGGAGGGCTCGAGCTTGGGGGCAGTCGGGAAGGTCAGCGGTACAGGGCAGGGAGCTAAGTTAGCGTGCACGTCCTGGATGCATGGCTGATGTCTGCCTGGCGTGGTTTTCTCTGTCTAACGTTCCACAGGTTCTGCCAGCTTCTGGACCCGCGCTGAACACTGTGCTTTCAGAGCAGCCGGCTTGACTTTGAAAACATCAGGATCGTAGAATACAATATGCATCGGACCCCTGGAAGAGAGGAAAAGGGTCAGCCTGGGGTAAGGGGACACGAGAAAGGAACTCGTGTGTCCCGTGCACTGCCAGGTGTCAAACCCCAGGCTGTTACCCACTGGTGTTCATGACGTGCACACAACACATCGAGGCACAGAGAGGTCATGAGATCACCGAAGCTCAAACCCAGACGGCATATCTGTCAGATTCCAAAGCCTTTGCTCTTTCCACAGAAAGTAAGTTCTGGAAGTTTCTGACAGTCCTCTAGGGGACTAGAAAAAAAAAATCTGTTTTTTCTTTTCTATCTTCCTTCCTTCCCTTCCTTCCCCTTCTATCTCTTTTCCTCCTTCCATCTCTTTCCCTCTTTCTTTCTCTTTCCCCCTTTTTCTTTCTTTCTTTCTCTCTTTCTTTCTTTTCCTAGTGCTAGGAATTGAATTTAGGGCCTGAAACATGCTAGATAAGTGTTCTACCACTGAGTCACACCCCTACCCTCACCCTGCAAAACTCTAACTTTGAAGTTTATTACCTCCAGCACCTGACCACTAAACAATAGCCTTGCCACTAGGATAAAACCTTGATAAAGTGCTCCAGTGCATTCTTCCTTTCCCTTTTTCAGGGAACATAGAATGAGCTTCATTTCACTTGATGAAGAACTTTATATGTTTTTAAAGGATTAAAAAAACATAATATTTTCAAAACATTATATAAGAACTAACATATATGTTCCCCCCTGAGCTGAAGTCTTTCACTTTTTCTGCTTCTCCTAGGTTCTCTAAAAGGCTCTTTAAAATGGGTTGATGGTGCACACCTGTTATCCCAGCACTCAGGAGGCTGAGGCAGGAGGATCACTGTGAGATCAAGGTCAGCCTGGGCTACATAGTGAGGTTAAGGCCAGCCTGAACTATATAGTGAGACCCTGTCTCAAAAAAATAAATAAATACACAAAAATAAATAAATAAATAAAAGGGGGTCAGTCAAGAGTTGCCCCTGAAGGTCAAAATGGAGGACCAAGGCAATGAAGAGGTCCTCCAAACGGTGAACAGGAATGAGAGGCGGTGTCTTCTTTGTTAATTGTATTTTCTAATTTAATTGAAATAGTGCGTTCATGTACACGGAGCAAAAACGTTGAAAAAAAACAAAGCCTATTTAATGGAAAAATCAATCTTCCTCGCACCCAGTTCCCTACGGCCCCAAAGGCAGACACTGCTCCTAGCTTGTTACAGGCAGGGGAAGCCAGTGTACGGCACGTAAGTGCCTTTCACACACGGGTCACACCCTATTACATGCTCTGTTCCGCAGTTCCTTTAACTCAGCAATACTGTGTTAGATAATAACTCCACATCCATACCTACAGAGCTCTCTCCTAGTGTCGATACTTAGTCCACTAGCCCCGCTGCGGTAGCCTTATATTTATGATAAGGCCATCACCTTGCAACAATAAATTTAACAAGTGGATGAGCTGTTACTGCAATTTTTGAACTTTTACTCTTCGTTGGCCTTATTAGATCAGCTTCCACCCTCTCCCCAGAGCCCCAGGCCTTCCTACCCCGCCTTAGCTCAAAAGGACACACCTTGAGCTTGGATTGGCTAGCTCCTGAATCCGGGGAGAAGCCTTCGAATGGGTAGCGGCGTGAGACACCGGCCACTGGGCTTCCCGGGCAGGTAGGTAGTCCTGATGAAGAGGCTTGGACTTCGCTAGAGCAGTTACTCGGGGGCTTGGTGTGGCGCTCAAGGCAGCAGGGGTTACCTAGAGTGGAAATAATTCGACTGTCACCAGCTACGGTCCATTTCAGTTGTTATCTCTCCTGGGTTACCTCGACGGGCTCCGAACTGGCCTCCTTGCTTCCGTTCTTGTCTGTACCATCCAGCCAGTAATTCGGGAATGCACGTTTAGAGACCATGTTCACGACAAGCTATGGTCTGAGTGATTTGCCACGTACCCACCAAAACAACCCTGTGAGGTCAACTGTGCGTGTGGTGCGTGTGTGTGTCACCGAGGACTGACCCCAGGCCCTTGCACTGAGCTACATCCACGGCCCTTTTCTTTTGTCTTTTGAGACGGGGTCCCGCTGTACTGTTAAATTCCCAAGGCTGAGCTCGAACTTGTGATCCTCATGCCTCAGCCTCCTGAAGTGCTGGGGTGATAGGCATGCTCCACTAGGCCCAGCTGAGGTAATTTCTAAAGCACAGTCAGGGAATGGCCTTCCCACATTTTACACCCCTCTGGGGCTGCCCGTTCTGCTAACAGTAATAGGAGACAGGCTGTTTCCTGTCCGTGTAAGAGTCCCTGTGGGACCCGGCTGTGTCCCGCTCCTCGGACCCTTTTGCCTTCCCTCCCCACCTGGATCACTGCGGCCCCCCGAGACCCCTCTGTCCAGCTCCTTCTCCCTCAGTTCTGCTTGAAAACTGTGGCTTCGGGGCCTTTGCCCACTGGAAGTGTTTCACCGGGGATTTAGCTCAGCGGCACAAGCGCCTGCCTGCCAAGCACAAGGTCCTGAGTTTGATTCCCAGCAAAAATAAATAAATAAATAAAAATAAAGATATTTTTATAGCGTTTCTCCAGAGTCCAGTCCTCCAAGAGGCCTCTGGAGCCCCGAAAGCAGAGACGCCTTCTGCGTGACCCTCTCCCTCAGCTGGCTCTCCCCTATCCAGACCTGGATTCACACATCTATTGCTTCACTGCCTGCTTCTCCCCCACTAGAACATAAACTGCCCGAGGGGAAGCACTCTTTTGCCAACAGCTGGAGTAGGCTCTGGCGTATAATTGGTCCCGAACAAATATGTGTCAACTGACTGACCTGTGTTTAGTCCTGCATCTGCCAGACTGTCTCTCTGTTGTTTGGCTTCACTAGCAAAATTTAAAAGGTGACATAGAACCATTACTCTCTGCTAAGTGCTGGAAGGACTTGGGATGGACAGTTAATACCACTCAGTAGCCCTGAAAGTGCTCCCCTGGCTCTGCCCAAAATAGTGTTTCCTGCAGCAGGCGTCTTCTTTTCCAGGGACTTTTTATTTTATTTATTTATTTATTTATTTATTTGGGGTTTTTGGTTTTTCTCCGGTACCAGGAACCAAACTCACAACCTTGCGCTTGCCAGGCAAGCGCTTTTGCCGCTGAGCTAAATCCCCAGCCCCTCCAGGGACTTTTTAAAACCTGAAACGCTCCTAGCAATAAAGGAAAGATGTGTGTAATTCCCATTTGATCTACCAAAGAGGCTGGGAACAAACTTGTTCCCCTGCAGACTCAAAACACCCTCCCAGGGTTTCTGGTTCCCAGCACGGCTGCCTTTGTTAATAGACCCGCAGTACCCCTTCAGTTTCCCAGATGGGAAAGCTGCTCCCGTCTCCTTTGGGAATGTGACCTGCAGGTATTTACTGAAAACCCAGCTGAGTCAGGGCACAATTCTCAGAGACTTCTGGGAGGAGGAGGCAGGGAAGCTTGGACAGCCGGCCCGGTCCGGCCCGGTGGCCAGCGCCAGGCTGCCTTTGTCACCCGACAGATACCCAGTGGGAACCGCTGTCACCACAGTTCTTTGGCTCGTCTTGCTGCCCCACCCGACTTGAAGATCCTAGTTGAAGACCTTGGCTCCCACCCTTCCCTTGGCTGGAACTTTCTCCTCCCAGATCATCACTCACTTGTTGCTCAGGGTCAGCTGGGACGCTCCTTCCTCAGCAGTGCCCACTGACTGAACTCATTTCCTACTTGGTCTCGCTGCCCCATAGTACCCTGTCCTGACACCCACCTTTGCCTGTCTCCCCTCACTACACGGGGCCTGCTCCTCCCTGGGACAGTGCCTGGCACGTGGGACCCTTTGAGTGCTTGCTGACTGTGGCTCAGGAGGGGCTGTCTGACCCCGGAGAGCTGGTGGGGTGGGGTGGGGATTTGAACCCAGATCCTGCTGACCCCAAAGCCTTGCTTTTTGACCTCAATTCTGCTCCCTTTCTCCCCTCCCCTCCTCCCCTCTGCTCTCCTCTCCCTCGTCCTTCTTCTTCCCTCTCCTCCGCTCTCTCCTCCATCTGTCTGTCTCTGTGTCACCTGCTAGGTCCCCCTTTCTGCAAGATCGCTCTTTCAAGTTCCCCTTTCCAGCGATTGTGGGCTGGGCCCTGTACAGGGAAAGCAAGAACCCAGGAGCAACCAGAAGGAGCAGGGGCGAAGGACAGCAGGGCCGCGGCTTACAGGACGGATGGGCATTTCGCTTCTCTCTCTCTCGTAGCACAGACCCTCTAGCTTGAGCCGTGGCTGGGCGAGGTCTATAATTCTTGGAGTTGCAACAGCACTCAGGGTAGTAATGGAAATTCTAGTTTCAACCTAGGGGAGGAAAGTAAAACAGCACGTGTAAGAGTCAAATAACAAGCGCTGTCTAGTTCAGGAGGACAAAGTATTGTCCGGCCTCTGGACAGGCCTCTCAGCCACCAGGAGGAAGTGTGGGAAGCCTGCGGGAGCCCCCGATCTCAGCTGGAGGATCGATTTCCATCTTTCTCAAAATAAAACCGTGTAGGCTCCACGTCAGATTTTCAAGACTGTACCCTGTTAAACTACAGATGTGGAGGAAACAGCAAAATAAACTCGGGAAGAAACGGGAAGGTTGATCTGTGGACCGAGGAGCTCAGCCAAGAGGGGGCCCAGCCCCGTCGCCGGTGAGCACTTCAGGGGTCTGACTTATTCTTCATTATTTTTTGCGCTGTGGAAACTGGGACTCACATCATCACAAATCACCACGCTGAAAGGGATGTAAGTGGCGCTCTTCCAATGGGGATAGAGAAGAAAAAGAACCAAGGCCAACAAAAAGAAAGCAGACCCAGCCAGCGTGGTGGTACACACAATATAATCCCAGCACTCTGGAGGCTGAGGCAGGAGGACTGTGGTGAGTTTGAGGCCAGCCTGGGCTACATAATGAATTCAAGGCCAGCCTGAACTACACAGTAAGATTCTGTCTAAAAAACAAAGACGAAGACAAAGACAAAGAAAAGAAAGCAGACCCATTCAGATGGTATGATAAAAAAAGTGATTTTTTTTTTTTAGACAGGGTCTCTCTGTGTAGCCCAGGCTGGCCTGACACTCACAGCAATCCTTCTGTCTCAACCTGCCAAGTCCTGAGACTACAGGCGTGCACCTCCATCTTCAGCTGAATGTTTCAAAAATTCACTGCAGCAGAAGACATGTTGTTATTAACCCTCCTCCACAATCTCCCTCTCATGCTGAATACCCTGATCTCAGCCTTCTTGTGACTTTCTGGAGCAGTTCTAGAAGTCTTCGTCCCTGTCTTTCATTACACTGTTATGGTTGCCTCACAGTACAACTGCAATTTGAGATGTACAACTGAGAAACTGAGTTAGAATTATGACATTAGCTGGGTGTGGTGGCGCACGCCTGTAATCGCAGCACTCAGGAGGCTGAGGCAGGAGGATCCTTGTGAGTTTGAGGCCAGCCTGGGCTACAAAGTGAGCTCAAGCCTGAAAGCCCAGCCTAAACTGCATAGCAAGACCTTGTCTCAAAAAGACCAAAAAAAAAAAAAAGAATTATGACATTACGTTGAAATCGTAAGTTTATGTCCAGACTCACAAAATTAAAAAATTTCTATTTCACTACCTGTATGAGTTTAGTATATTAAATTCTAAGATAATGATTTATATTTCAGAAGGTTTCTTTTTGCTAATGTAGATGGCTGAAGTACTTAAAAATAAATCAAATATATTTATCAGAAGTATTAAATTCTTTGAAAGCATTTTATCAGTTAGGCTTGGAAACGTTATTCAGGACTCTTCAAATGACATGTTAAAAACTGCTAGAATTATAAATATAAGAATAAAGTTTGCAGGCTAAACCTAAAAGCCTAAGAAACAATTTTAATTTGAGATATAAATCACAGGCCTGTTAATTAGCAACCATGTTCAGGGATACCAAAAGACTCCCGTCACTGGGTGTGGCAGCGATTTTTAAGTGCCTATAAATTCTTCCATGCTTCTCATAGAGAGGTAGGCTTGCGTCCCCACCCCCTTGAGTCTGGCCAAACATAACCACATCATCAACAAACTATTGCGGTGACGCGTGACTCCCAAGACCAAGCCGAAGAAAACCCAGGCAGCTCCCGTCTTCCCTTGGAATGCTTATGCTCGGCTTCCCCACTTTGGGGTAATTAGGCTGAGAGGTCTAAGCCCTGTGGAACGGCCACACGGAGGTGGTCCTGGACACAATCCCAATGGACGCCAGCCTCACATCATCCTGGCTTCCGCACCACCCACTGGCATCCTAAGGGCGGAGTGTGTGTCTCTCCAAAATTCCTCTGCTGCCGGGCATGGTGGTGCGCGCCCGCAATCCCAGCACTGCGATTGGAGGCCAGCTTGGGCTACACAGTGAGTTCCAGGCCAGCCTGAACCACATAGTGAGATCCTGTCTCAAAAAACAGAACAAGACAAAACAGAACAGCCCCCTCCCGCCAAAAACCTCTCCTGTGTTGAAGCTCTAAGCCCCAGTGTGATGATATTAGGAGCTGTGGCCTTTGGGGGTTACTAGGTTTCGATGAGGTCACGAGAGTAGCGTCCCCATAATGGAATTAGTGCCCTTATAGGAAAGGTGAGAAACCAGGTCACTCCCTTCCCTCTCTTCGCCCTCCCTCTCTGTCTCTGTCTCTCCCTCCCTGCTCCTCTCTCTCTCCTGCCTCTCTCCCCCGTTCCTCCAATCCCTCGCCTTCCCTCCCCTGCTTGATCAAAGGGTAAAGGAGCCAGGTGAGTAGGAGCAGATGATAACCTGGGACGGCAGTTGGCCCTCCCCAAGAACAAACTCTTCTGGCATCTTAATACTGGACTTTCCACCTTGCAGAACTGTGAAAAATAAATATCTTTTTCTAAGGCACCCAATCTATGGTGCCAGCTGACTGAGACAGGTACGAAGGAGCCCCAGATGGCCCCAGCCTCCACCACTTCAAATGCCCAGGAACCAGATTTCCCAGCTGAGACCATGAACCCAGAGCACAGATCAGCGGGATCTGCTGCCCTGTCAGAATCCTGACTCATAAAATCCTTCATAAAAAAATGCTGTTTTTTGTACCACTAAGTTTGAGGGTAGCTTGGCATGAAATAACAGACAACCAGACCAGACCATAAGGACCGGGCTCTATATTGTTTCTAGATCGTCTAGAATTTGTCTTCTGAAATGATCAGCTCTGAAGGCAACAGAGAGCTGATTGGTGGTTTATGGCACACAGCGGCAGAACAGAAAGCGGGGCTTGGGGTGACCCACAGCTGCAGCCAGAGAACATGTCGGTGAACTAAAGAAGTGGAGTGGGCTTAGCTAGTTGCTTCTAAGTGCACTGAAGAAATTGAGAAAAGAAATGATCAGCTCAGGCCTTTAAATCCCTCCAACCCCACCGTAAGGTCCAGAGGAGGAGCCAGGAATCCTTTGTGAGTTCCCGCTTAGAAATGCTTGCCTTCTATTTGATGGAGCTTTTGAAACACAAACTCTAATTCCGTGGGTGGCTGAGTCCCAGTGAACACAATCTCCAAACCTGCAAGGTCCCTTATATTAAAGTTTGATCGGGGCTGGGGATTTAGCTCAGCGGCACAGAGCCTGCCTGGCAAGCTCAAGGTTGTGAGTCCAGTTCCCAGTAACAGAAAAAAAAAAACTAAATAAATAAATACATGGGGAGAGTTTAATTTAAAAAAAATAAATAAAGTTTGATCAATGACCGGAAAGGATCAAGACTTGAAAAATTTGAATGGGGCTCCATGGGTGGAACCTAGTGAAAGGACTTTAAACCCTTAAGCAGTACTGACCCTTCCTTACCGTTAGAATCCGTCCTGCTGTAGCAGAAAATGCACCCCCCAGCCAGTATGCTTCAGTTTTTTTGTTGCCTAGGTAACAGTTCCTGTTCCAGTTCCGGTTGCTCCTGTCTCTTAGAAACAACTGGTCACACATTGTATAAACCAGTCCCCAACTGACCAGCCTTTCTGCCTCTGTACTTCCTACTTGCTTATCCCATATAAGCCTAGACCACAGAGACTGGGGGCCTGATATTCCAGGTATGAGCCTGATCAGGGCCCATCGAGGTAAATAAGCCTGCCTCCAAATCCTGGGTGTCATTTCAGTGTTTCTGCTTGCCGTAGCACGGCCACCCCAGGAGGTTGGCTGCCCCGGGCCCAGAGGCATCTGGGGAGCTGTCCACCTATCCCTGCACCTCTGTCACTTCAGATCCAAGTCCACACTGAGGTCACAACCTGCCAGCGACGCCCTCACCAGCTCCCACAACTGCTTAAGCTGACTTTGTTTGATGTCACTCTGGTCCATTCCTCACCAGCACGTGAGGAAGAGGGATGAGAATCAGAAAAGTTCATTTGATCAGAGGGGGAAAATGGAAATGGAAAATTGATCATAGAAAGAAAAGGAAAACCCACATCTAGAAATAAGGGAGGGTCGTGTCACAAAGTGCACCAGGAACCACTTCTCTTGCGCAGGAACACTCACGCTTCGTGGAGGAACATAGTTCGGGTCTGTGCCTTTGGCGACTGAAAGTCTCAAAATCCGGGGAGAAGGATCCGAGAAGTGGGGAACACTTCTTGATAAGTGATCACTGAAGGACCTGTATGCAAAGAAGAGCATGAAATGTTATGACCCTTGGACAGAGGAACGAAAACTGGACTTTTCCCTGCTACAGTCAACCTCCTATCAACTCTGCAGACTGTTTCAATTTTAAGAACTTTCCCCACAATCACTGACAACCAGGCTGGTGTTTCTCAAAATTTCTTTATCATGATACACGGTTGCAAAGCACGTTTTATACCATAGTATGGTAGATGTGAATGTGTGCCTGTGTACGTGAAGCAAAATTACCATGAAACAAGGTTTATCCTGTTTGGTATATTCTGATTTTTAAATTTTTAAATTTGATTTCATTGAGAGAAAAAAATGAGTTAATTTCATGATCAATTATGTATGGGTTGTGACTTGCAGTTTGAAAAACACCTCACTTCCTACTGGAACCTAAGACTAGATCTCTGAGATAAAAAACCCCACTCACTGCTGAGGACAATTCTGGGATGGCTGTTTCCATGACAGCACAATTGGAGATAATCCTGGTCAGAACTCCCAGCCACTTAGCAAATGGTCAGAGGCACCCAAATATTTCTTTTCCTGACCAAAAACCTACCAATCAACCCAAAAATCTACAAACAATATGGAAATGGTTTCTCTCTGTTGGAAGTTTTTATCATTATCACTATTATTATCATTGACATATAATTAATATACCATAAAACTTACACTTCAAAATGTACAATTAAATGGTTTCTAGAATATTCACAAAGTTGTGCAATCACTATCTAATTTCAGAACGTTTTTGTTTCCTGAAAGTCCCCACATCTCCTGAGAACCACACTCATTCTCTATGGATGCATCTATTCAGGAAGTTCCAAATGAACAGAATCATGCAAACATGTAGCCTTTTATGTCTAGATCTACTTTCAAGTATTTACCATACTTGAAAGATTCATGTATCAGTATTGAATAACATCTCATTGTGTGGGTTTGTGGCATTTTGTTTATCCATTCATCCACTGATGAACATTTAAGTTGCTGCCACTTTTAGGCTATCGTAAATGCTGCTGCTATGAATATTTTTGTGCAAATTTTTGTGCAAACATGTGTTCAGTTCTCTTGGGGACATGCCCATGGTGCATGTTTAACACTTTGAGAAATAGTCAAACTGTTTTCCACATTATCTGTACCATTTTACATTCCCACCAGCAATACAGAAGGGGTTCAGTTTCTCAACATTCCTGCCAACACATACTATTTTCTGTTTATTTGTTATTATTTTTATTTCCATTCTTATAGAAGCTGTATCTTACTGTAATTTTAATTTGCATTTCCAGAATGACTAATGATGTTTAGCATCTTTTCATCTGCTTCTTATCCATTCGTATACTCATCATCAACTTATAAAGGGGTTACATCTCAGTAAAGCCAAGCTAAGTTGAAAATATCAACTTGAAAGTGTACTTAATAACCCTACCCAAAATGCTAGTTACTTACCCTTGTGATCTCATGGCTGATTGGGAGGTGTAGATTATCACTCTGCCCAGCATTAAGAAAGAGTGTTGTACCATCTATCTTTAGTCATAAAAGAACCAAGTTTCAAAGTATGGTTTCTACTGCATGCATATTACATTTGCACCATCGTAAGGTAAAAAAATGTAGGCTGAACCATCTTAAATCAGGCACTGTATCTTCTTTGGAGGAAGGCCCATTCATTTCAAAAAGTGGGCTATTTGCCTTTTATTGTGTTTTTTTTTAGTTCTTTATATATATTCTGGATTCCAGTAGCTTATCAGGCATATTATCTGCAAATATTTTCTCCATTTTGTGGGTTATCTTTTGTCACATGTGCTTTTGATGTCAAAACTAAGAAATCATCCCCTAATTCAAGGTAATAGACATCCTTGCCTTTTTTTTCTTCTAAGAGCTTCATAGCTCTTTCATCTAGGTCTGTGGCCCATCTGGAACTTCTGTGGATGGTGTGACACAGGATCCAACCTCATCCTTCCACCTGAGGATATCCAGTTATGTCATCAGTTTTTGAACAGCTATTGTTTTCCCCAGTTAACCTCTTTTGTTACTCTTGTCACAACTCAACTGCTCATGAAGGTAGTTTTATTTCTGGACTGTCGTTCTGTTCCATTTACCTGAATGTCTGTCTTAATGCCAGTAACACATTGCCTTGATTACTACGCCCTTCTAGAAAGTTTTGAAATTACAGACTATGTCTTCCAACTTTGTTCGTATTCGCGATTTGTTATGGCTGTACCTGGATGTCCGTCCCAAAGCCTCATGCTTTCGTAGGTGGGGCTTTTCAGAGGTGGCTGGACCCCGGATGTGTTGTGAATATGGATTAGCAGTTGTGATTTCTGGATTAGTTCCCCAATTGGGTTAGCGTAGTTCTGGGTGTGAACGAATGGATGTACTGAAAAGGGAAGCCCCATCCTGCGTGTGGTTGGCACCAATCACTAAGCTTGTAGCCTGGGTGGAATACGAAGGGACAGGAAGAAGGCAGGCTCATCACTTCCTGTCCACCCTGCCATGGACTGTTTCTCCTCTATCGTGCCACTCTCCCTCAGAGCCAGCTGATTGTGGACTGAAGCCTGTACAAACTGTGGGCTAATGCAAAGCTTTCATCCTTTAACTTCAGATGTCAGGTATTTTGGCCCAGCAACAAGAGAAGTAACTAAGACATGTTGTTTTTTGGCTATTCCAGATTCCTCCTATTTCCCTACAAATTTTATCTTATCAATGTGTATCAAAAAGGTAGCTAGAATTTTAATAAGGACTGCACTGAATCTGTATCTCAATTTGGGGAAAACTGACAGCTTACAATTAAGGGGTCAAATCATAATGATGTTTTCATTATGTAAGGCTTCTTTGATTCCTTTCAACAATGTTTACAGTTTTCATTGTACATATCTTGCAGTTCTTTTGTTAAATTTATTCTTAAATACTTTGTCCTTTTATTATTTTAGTTGTGGTAAAACACACATAAAATAGAATTTACTATTTTCAACTTGTTAACTAAGTTATAGTGCGATGGTGTCAGGTACACTTACATTCTTGTGCAGCTAATTTCCAGAAACCTTTTCATCTTGTGTAACTCTTAAGCCATTAAACGACTCGTTACCCCTCTCCCCAGTCTCTGGCAACTTCCATCCCTCTTGATCTTTCTTTTCTTTCTCTCTCTCTCTCGATCTCTCTCCTTTTTTTCAGTGTTTTTGAGACAAGGTCTCACTATTCAGGCTGGTCTTGAACTCACTATGTAGCCCAAACTGGCTTCAAACTCATGGCAATCTGCCTCCTAATTATTGGGGTTACAGGCATGCACCATTCTATGTTCTGTCTGTATGAATTTGACTATGCTTAGTACCTCATCTGAGTGGAGTCATCTATTACTTGGTTTTTAACTGGTTTATTTCACTTACCATAGTGTCCTCAAGATTCATTCATGTTTAGTATGTACCAGAATTTCTTTATGTTTAAAGGCTAAGCAATATTCCATTGTATATACACTTCTATTGATTGTTTTGTCAAATAAATTATGCTTCCTGTCTCTGGTAACATTTGTTTGACAAGTGTTTTGTCTGAGATCAGTATAGCCACTCCAGCTCTTTTGGGGTTGATTTTCACTGTATACCCCTTTCCATTTCTTTAACTTCTTTTTGTTTTTTTTTTTTCCAGACAGGGTCTTAGTATGTAGTTCAGGTTGGCCTTGAATTTACTATGTAGCCCAAGCTGGCCTCAAAGTGGTGGAGATCCTCCTGCTTCAGCCTCCTAAGTGCTGGGATTATGAGCATGTGCCAGGCCATTCCTTCAATTTCAGCATGTGCATTTCTTTGAATCTAACATATGTCTCTTATAGACAGCACATAGGTAAACACTTGCTTTATCCACTCTGTCAGTCCTTGCCTTTTGATTAGTGTTTGGTTCATTTACATTTAATGTAATTACTGACAAGGTAAGACTTACAAGTGCCTTTTGTTTTATATGTGTATTACAATTTTTTGTTTCTTTATTCCTCTATTCTTTCCTTCTATTGTTATATAGATCTAATGCACCATTTTGATTCCCTTGCTTCTTTTTACTATATATATTTTTTTTTTGTTTTTTCTCCGGTACCGGGAACCGAACTCACGACCTTGCACTTGCCAGGCAGGTGCTTTGCCGCTGAGCTAAATCCCCAGCCCCTTCTTACTATATTTTAAAAGTCATTTTCTTAGTTGTTTCTATATACATCTTAATGTATAGCATTCTAGCTCAGATTAATACCAAATTAACTTCTACATCATATAATAACTTTGTTCCTATATAACCATTCTTTCCCCTTCCTTTGTGCTTTCCTAAAATACTGTATGCCCCTCAACTAGTTTTTTTGCTTTATGCAATTATATTTTAATCAAGCTGGAAAGTTAGTGTTATAAACAAAAATGTATTTATAGCATCTTTTGTACTTACCTATATAGTTCATTCTAATGGTGCCCTTATTTTTTTGTGTGAATTCAAATTATTGTCTAGTGGTTTTTCATTTTAGTTGGAGGGATTCCTGTTAGCATTTTTTCTTTCTTTCTTTCTTTCTTTCTTTTTTTTCTTTTTTCTTTTTTCTTTTTTGTCTTTTTGAGACAGGGTCTCGCTATGGAGTTCAGACTAGCCTTGAGCTCACTTTGTAGCCCAGGCTGGTCTTGAACTCACAATGATCCCCCTGCCTCAGCCTCCCAAGAGCTGGGACTATAGACGTGCACAACCATGCCCAGATACTTCATTCTTTCTCCTTTGTGCTCCTCAACTTGATGATCTCAGATGAACTATCTTCAAATTTGCCTTTTCCTTTGGCCTGCTCAAGTCTACTGGTTAGTGAATGAGCCCCTCCAGGGTCACAGAGGCAAAGGTCACGTCACCCATTTATTGAAGACCCCTACTTATTTTCATCAAGCGCTCGTTTTGCTCCCCTTCACACAATTCCAGCAAGCCTGGTTACCTGTTTCCAATTTACAGAAGATCAAGAAAGAGGCAGTTTAAAAGATTACCCTCCACAGAAGAGAAAGGACAGGAAGACCATGAGAAGCAAATATCTCATAATTTAAAGCACAGAAGTCAGACCATTTAGCCTAAGGATAAACTGTGCTTTTATGTAGTGCACAAGAGGCTTTCTGTATTAAAGTATTACATAGGAGTTTATGTTCATAGTCAAGATTCTTTTTTTTTTTCTTTTTTGGTTCAGGAATCGAACTCAGGACCTTGTGCTTGCCAGGTAAGTGCTTGTGCTACTTGCTATATCCCTGGTCCCTCATAATCGAGATTCTAAGCCAGTGAAGAAGGGCTGAAAAGAGGCCGGGGGTAGCTCAGTGGTAGAGAATGTACTTAACACGCAGGCCCTGGGTTTAACCCCCCCGCACTAAAAGAAACAAAAAATTACCATATACTGAAAAGAATGGAGACCGTGGTTTGTTTTTCCAGATAATCACTTCCATACTGTTGGACAGCTGGTCAGAGAGATTTTTCTACCATACCTTAGGTAAGCTGAACATGGCATTTCTCTTAACTATTTTTCATGTAACATAGTTTCCACAAGCCTCGCATCTCATTATCTCCTTCTGAGCAGTCGTGAGTTTATTATCAGCTCCATAGTGTATGTAACATAAACTATTGGTTTAAAGTGGCACAGAGTAGCACTGTCACGAGTACAGTAGTACCTGTAGACCTTGCGTACAATTGGCATCTTACATATTCCGCTAATGCAGCCTAACATGGAACTGGCTTCTCCAACAACCGCATCACAGTCTTAACTCCCATGGAAAAAGCATCTTCTAAGGCTAAGCTGTTCTTTTTTCTCCCTAGTATTTCAATAAGTTGTTTTTTTTTTTTGGTACCAAGAATTGAACTCACAACCTCACACTTGCCAGGTAGGTGCTGTGCCACTGAGCTAAATCCCTGGCCCATAAGCTTTATTTAAAAGTGTTAAAAACATATAGAAGGGAAAAAAATAACCCCACTGCCTCTACCTCCCAATCTATAATAAATACAGAGCACAGCCTGATAATGTTTAGACCTAGCATGACCAGGACGTTTGAACCACCTGGGCTTTTTAAGGAAGGTTTATTTATTTATTTATTTGGACAGGGTCTCACTCTGCAGTTCAGGCTGGCCTTGAGCTCACTTTGTAGCCCAGGCTGGTCTCGAACTCACAATGATCCTCCTACCTCTGCCTCCCAAGTGCTGGGATTACGGGTGTGCGCCACCCCGCCCAGCTAGAAAGGTTTATTGTTTGGTGGTGGTGGTGGCAAAGATAGAACCCAGGGCCTTCTGCATGCCAGACAAGGGGTCTGTCGCTGAGCTACACCCCAGTTTTCAAGACTCCTCTTTAAAACTAAGTTTCTGGGTTCACCTGATTCACTGAATCAGAATCTGAGGATGGACTCCAGGTCTTATTTGCAAAAAATGCCCCCAAGGATTATTTTTATAGCAAAAACCAAGATGTGACCTTGTATAATCTCACTGTTCATATAAAATAGAGCACATATTAAAATAATTTGGAAAGTCCAGTCAAACGCCATAGTGGTCTGTAAAGATAATCTGAAGCTGCTGATGTGCTTGACAGAGCCTTAAATATTCTTTCTCCCTGCCTTGGAGTTATTTTTTCCCTCAGGTACACTAAATGTTGATGGAAACACATAAAAGGAGTTCCAAGTTCAAGAGCAGTGTCAGCCCGGTCCCAGATGCATTTCAGTGGGCATTCCTCGTATCCAGCAAACACAGCAGGGTTTGGCCAGAGTCCCCTTGCAGACATTGCGCCCTCTGTCCTGTAACCTGACACACATCTTCTGCCTCTTTTAAGCTTCTGGTGTCGCCATTAGCAATCTCATTAGGTATGGACATGTTTTCCTTTATTATTTTAATGGCCTCATAGTGGACTGGCTGATGTCTTTCTCCAACAGTTCTTCCATGGACTGTAGTCCAGTTAACTCCTACTCCCTCAGCCTTTCGACCAGTCTACAGTTCTTTGGTGCAACCACCATGGAAATCAGTGTGGAGAGTTCTCAAAAAACTAGGATTAGAGGTCCCATTTGACCCAGTTATTTCTCTTCCAGGTGTCTCCCCAGAAGAATTAAAAACATCATACCACAGCGATATGTGTGCACCTATGTTTATAGCAGTGCAATTTGTAATACCTAGATCTTGGAAACAACCCAAATGCCTATCAGTGAAGAGAAGGATAAAAAAGATATGGTATTTTTATACAATGGAGTACTATTCAGCTATAAAGAAGGATCAACTCAATACTTTTATAGGTAAATGGATGCAACTCGAGACCATAATCATAAGTGAAATAAAACAGTTGCACACGTAAAAACATCGTATTGTCTCCCTAATGTGAGAAGCTAAAACAGTAAATAAGATTCAAAATGTACAATAGATATTGTGGAATGGGAAGAAACTGCTCAAAAGGAAAGAACAACTGGGATGGGGGCAAGGAGAAAAGGAGGATGGGAAAAGCAATATATATATATATATACATATATATATATATATATATATATACATAAGATAGTTATACTATTAACATCTCTTAACTCATTGAAAGGAAAAGTTTGTGCTAATATTGTTTGGACAATTCAATGCCTGTATCTTATACTCTGAGTGACTAGTATAAAGATAACAATACACAATGTATTAACCATTGTTACCCTCCTATCATCTTGTTTAGAAATTTTGGTGTTTTTTTCTCTTTAAAATAAAATTTTTTAAAAAGTCTACAGTTCTTGCAAGGCCATCGTGGACCCTTATTTTAATAGAAACAAAATCTGGGGTTTCCCACTTGACTTCGCGCTTGTTTCACCATATCTCGAAGGAGCTCTGGCGTATTTATTAAGCCGGCTCCATAAGCTGCAGCCATCAGCCACCCTGGGGAGCCGCCGTTCACGTCTATTCCGCTCGCATGCGGACACACTATAGGGGCAGCACCCATAAAAGTCTTGCATCGCTAGCGGCAAACCACACAGTCCATGGGCCATCGCCTTGGCTGGTGGTAAATTCACTGTCTCTGGCTTTTATAGATCTGACAAAATCAGCAGCGACTATCATTGGGGAATGACCCAGATCACAACAGCATCTTCTACTAGTGTTCCAAAAGCCAGCTTTGAATATCGAACCACTGCAGCACAGACCTTCACCAGCTGCCCAGAAGGAAACATTTCTACTGGGTCTTTTTCCCTTCTTGACATATTGTGGTGTGTATGAGTCACTCTTCACGAACATGGATTTGTTTTGAATCTATTATCTATGTATCCTTTGGGTTATAGATTTGGTCTTCTGTTTGTAAACTTGTGCTGGGACATACAGTTGGGGCTCAGAACTTTTCACTGTATGCATATTATGCACTCTTCTGAAATCTTCTAGTGTAAAGAAAAAAGCTTCTCCTGCTGCGGTGGGAGACAGCACCTAGTGCTGGCTTGGGGCCTTGCCTCCCCCAGCATCGGCTTCAGCACCTACCACCTCCAACACCCACGAGACTCGGGCCAGGCAGGCTCAGGCGCTCAAAGCCGTCTTTTATTTATTTTCTGGGTTTTGTGTTTTTGTGTTTTTTTGTTTTGTTTTGTTTTGAGACAAGGTCTCACTATATAGTCTAGGCTGGCCTTGAACTCAGACCAAACCTCCTGCCTCAGCCTCCCAAGTGCTGGGATTATTCTATACACCACCATGCTTGGCTTCTAAACTTTCTTTTAAAGACAAAGAGACATTCAGCTTTAAAAGCAAAAGGAAAACCATTTGCAAATTCAGAGACATAAGAAAACATCAAGGTCTACAACTTGTCAAAACCTGTGATGCACATTTGCAGATTTCTTTTTATGTTTGCTTTGTTTCTGGCGTGCTGGAGGATTGAACCCAGAACCTCACGCATCCTAAGCAAGCCCTCTCACCTCCCCGAGATTTCCTTTTAATTGGCTGACACTGGTAAAGTTCAATATGATTTTTAGCTTCACCAAAATCTGAATCAAATGTAACTATTGACAATGATCTTCTGATCACCTACAATTGCTACAAATATTTAACTTTCCTACCAGATACTCAGGGACACAGGCAGACTTTAGATCATGAAACTGCACATACTAAAATTAGAACAAGGGTACTGGGACATTGCACCAAATTAGATTAGGATTGCCAGAGATTCTGCAGGTACTCTACCCATTTCGCAGGTACTGTCTTTTGAATCTGTTGGGCTGAGCCAGCTTCTGGATCCTCATGGAGGGCTGGCTAAACAACGCAGGATGAGGAATCTTCCAAATCACAGACTCTCTTCCACAGCTGTAGTAAAACTGATCCCTGCATGTTGTAGACGAGGAAAAAAGTGAGAGAAGCAGCACACATTCAAATCATCATAGTATTTTCCAGCACTGATTCCCAGGCTGGGGACAGCCAGAGGGACATTTTACATGCTCATTGCAGGGCTGTGTTTCACCCGGGGGGGAAGTGGATTGGTTTAGTAATAGAGCTAATCATGATTTCAGTTGGCTTCTATTACCTTGTGCGAAACCTAAGTTTCTATAATAAATTGCAGTTTTTAAGTAGACCGAAAGATAAATTGATGATGGGAGAAACTGCTGCTTTTAAAACCAAATATTTTATCATCTACATAAACAATTTTAAATTGTTTACTATATTGTTAGTTAATAGGATGAATTTACATGGATACCTTCCTTTGTCTTAAACTCTTAAGTGTAGAAGTTAATTTGACTTAATCATAATTTGTAGACTACTTTTTTTTTTTTTTTTTGAGACGGGGTCTCACTATGTAGCCCAGGCTGGCCTTGAACTCATGGTGATCCTCCTGCCTCAGCCTCTCAAGTGCTGGAACTAGAAATGTGAACCATCACACCGGGCCATGAGGTATCAGTCACTTAGTCATTTCTGAGGTTTGTGAACTAAGATTGTGTTTGGGATAAATAATAATGTTGTTATTATTGTCTCTGCTCTTCATTCTGGGGTTAAGACCAGTTACAGGGAACAAACCAGCCATGAAAATAAAATGGAATCAAAAAGTCACAGTTCACAGTAATCAAGCCCATGGGTAAATTTAAAATTCATCAAAGTTCCATGCAGAAATGTTTATTCACTCACAGTGATATATACAGAGCAAACAGTGGAATATCCTATGTTTTAACAGTAGGATAATTTACCCTCTTGATAAAGCTAGCTCGGACATCAACACCAACCTGTTAGGTACGTAGTGGTGGGACACTTTCTTGGGCTGAGCAAGGTTGCTAAGTCTCTTTGTTAGCGGAGCGATCAAAGCCCTGTCAGAAACAGGGCAAATAGGATCTTGATTTCCCCAAAACAGTCTTCTGTTTAAAAGCATAAAAATAAAATGGTCAAAAATTTGCTGCTGACGAACATCTTAGAAATGCTCTTGATAACGTCTACACAGATTTTACTTCAAGAACTATCTCAACAGAAATTTACAATTTCCAGGCATTAGAAAGAGATAAACTGTGGATGTTAAAACAGAACTAAAATAAGTATTTTAGCTACTGCCTTAAAAGTAATCACAAACGAACCTGTGAAGAGATAAGACCTTTCTATTTCTACCATGGTGGAACTAACACTGTGATGTTTGTTTGTTTATTTGTTTTTGAGACAGGATCTTAGGCTGGCCTTAAACTCGCTATGTAGCCCAGGCTGGCCTCCTAAGCGATCCTCCTGCCTCAGCCTCCCGAGTGCTGAGACTACAGGCGTGCACCCCCACACTCAATGACACTGATTTAGAGTGAGCTTTGCATTAAATGGGCCACCATGTGTGCTGTGCTGTTTGGCTGAAGCCTTCCCGGGGGTCAGGAGGTAAGATTGGAACACAGTGGCTGGGCGCTGGCCCTCTGCACACTGTTTCCTGTGCTCTGCCCACGCTAAGCACAGTTCAGACCCCAGGTCATCTGGTCTCGGCTGCCCCATGATGCCCGGCATGGTGGTGCACACCTATATCCCTAGTACTTGGGAGGCTGGGGCAGGGAGATCATCATGAGTTCAAGGCCAGCCTAGGCTACATAGTGAGTTCAAGGCCGCCTGAGCTACATAGTGAGACCCTGTCTCAAAAAAACAAACAAACAAACAAACAAAAACTCAACAATAAGAAAACAAGCAACCCAATTAACAATGGGCAAAGATCTGGACAGATACCTCATCAGAGAAAATACACCAATAAGGGTATAAAAGATGTTCAACATCATGTCATTAGGGAATTGCAAATTAAAACAATGAGATACAAACTACACATCCATTGGAATAAATGAAATCCAAAACACTGATAGCGCCAAATGTTGACAAGGGAGTGGAGGGACAGGAACTCTCGCTCACTGTCGGTGAGACTGCAAAATGGTGCCAACACCTTGGCCTGAGTGGCACAGGCAGCAAGGGCAGCCCTGCACAGTGGACGCAGGAGTCTCAGAGGAGTGCAGAGCCACACCCTACAGCAGTAGGTGGCCAGCTTTTCTGCCTATTAGAGTCATCTGCAGAGCTGCACCCAGACCAGTTAAGTCAGGGTTTCCAGGAATGAAATCCAGGCATCAGTCAGTGTTAAATCCCAGGTGATCCTAACATGCAGTCAGATTTGGGAATCACTGCCAAGATTAGCCTCCGGGTATTACATCAACTGAGGTGCCCATGTTGGCTCGGTTCCTGTAGAACAGAGGTGGTAGGTCCACCTGAGATGCGGGGTTAGTGGGTAGATACAGGGTAGGTAAGAATAATACTGATCTACTTGATGTAACGAACACAGTAACAGCAGAGAAGACCGCATGACGGTGCCTTACCTATCTGGAGTTCCCCATTGTCTTTTAGGCCTAGAAAGATCTTGCATTCTCTTTCTAGAAAAAAAACTAACAAATACCAGCTGATTAATTCAAAGGGAACACTCAAGAAATAAGGTTACATTAGATGACTCCAACTCAAAGAAATCCCATGGGGGGCCATATCAGTGGTGATGTACAGGGCTGCTGAAAGGCTCAAAGGATCCAAACACAGTGTGAGCCCAGTTCTCACTAACAAAAGGCCAACAAACGTGAAATGGAGCAAAGAGCCTTTGGGGGAAAACTTGACTAGCATCTTAAGTTAATTACAGACAGCTTGGTGGCATTGGATTGTGAAAAGATTATTCACATAATTTTCAGACAAAATGGCTTTGGCAAAACTATGAAACAGGCAAAATATATTTTTGGTACCACTCAATCTCTTTGGGCTCCCTTGAACCTTCCCTCATTTTATTTATTTATTTACTTATTTTTTTATTAGCGCGTTGCTGGGGACCAAAGCCAAGGCCTTGAGCATGCTAGGCACGTGCTTTGCCACGGAGCTACACCCCCAGCCCTCCCCAGCTGGCCCTAATCCTCTTGTGGCGGAACACTTTAGTGCTCTCCAAGGACCCACATTTCGCAAGTATCCCCCTCTACACTCCCAGCCTGCTTTGCACAGTCTGGAGCCATGTAACTTGTCACATCTAACTTAGCAGGAGTGTTGGATATCACTTCCAGAGCAATGCGCTCAAGAGCCACACTGCCTCCTCCACCTCTCTCCTTCCCTGCTGCACAGACCCTGGAAGCCATATATTCTAGACAGCAGAGCCAAAGGGAAGAGGGGACAGTCAGCTCACCCTGCACTGTAGCGTGCGGGGAAAAACACATTTTCTCTGTATTGGAAAGTATTTGAGAGTTTTCCATCCTGTTTGTTACTGTAGCATGGCCTAGTCATTGCAGACCACTACACTGCCTATGGAAGTTTGGAGTCTGAAGGGCCCAGTAATAATAATCTTTGTTGCCCACCGCAGTTAGGAGCCAACTGAAAAACAAGCACAGGCGTTGGACAAATGGAATGAAAATACTCTATCACTGGTGTAATGATATTAAAGAGAATAGTTTGGCTCCCTGACAGCCCTGAGTTGTACTTGCGCCCCAGGGCTGCAGACCCCTCCCATGGTGGCTGAGCATGCTGTGAGAGGAAGCAGATTGAGGACGTTACTCCCAGCAGACAGACAGAGCCAAGGACAGAGGACTTGGAAGGGCCAGTTCTGCATCCTAAATCCACCTCCTGAGAGGCCGGATGAACTCATGGAGGCAAATGCTTTAACGGAGGGTGACGGGGCACCCTAACGCTCGCCTCAGCTCTCCCACAGGCCCCAAACACTCCACATCACAGCGCCCGCCCGGCGAGTGGGCTTCGGTCCTGACGGTGTGGTGTGGAGAGACCCTATGTGAAGAAGGTTACTGCTTAGAGGGTGATGGATGTATCGCAAAGCTCCAGTCAGAAGAGGGAGGAAGAAGGGAGGGTTCCTAGGCAGCAGCTCCCAGGGTTGTGCATTCTCAGCCATCCTCATCCTGGAGAACAAGCTCAAATCCTTTCATCAGATTATCTACTTCCAAGTCCTCTGCCTTAATTACCTTGTGCTGCCCCTCAGCCTTCTTTTATTTTAACAGGGTCTTACTAAGTTGCACAGGCTGGGTTTGAACTTTCAAAAGCCCTGCCTCAGCCTCCCAGTGTACTGGGATTACAGGTGGGCAGTGACCCCTCAGCCTTCAGTTATGACTTTTACAGCCTAGAGCCTTATCTTAGCTGTGGTATGGAAGCTGTAGCAGCCATTATGTGCATAACCAGGCCATAATACTCACAGTGGAAGGAGCTCCAGAGGCCAGCATGGTGGTGGGAGTGACAAATCTCAAGGACATGGACTAGGCAGGAGGGTCATTGCGGGTTCAAGACCAGGCTGGCCTGCAAAGTGAGCTCAAGGCCAGCCTGAACTGCACAGGGAGACCCTGTCCCCAAAAGCCAAACAAATAAATAAATAAATAAATAAAAAGAAATCAAAGACATGGAATTGGTGTAACAGTTCTTCTCATTATCCCATGCCAACCATAGAGAGTCCGGATTTCACTATTTTTAAATGAAGTACAATTCTCTTTACTATAATGAGACACAACATTTGAGCATCATTATGGGGCGCATTACGGTAATTTGATAGCTGTATATAATGTGTAATAATCAAATCAGGATAATAAGCATTTTCATCCCTTAAAATGTTAATCATTTGTATGTGTTGGGAATTTTGTACTCTTTTGATCAGACTGTTTTAATGATGAACCCTACCGTGCTATGAAAACCAGAACAAATTCCTCCTTCCTATGTTCCGGTGTCCCTTGCTTTCATTTTCTTATCATTGGAAATTACTTAACTCTGAGCTTTAGTTCATTCAATAAATATTCACTCAGCATTTACTATAAACGAGGTAGGTTCTAGGGCTCAATGAATACTAGTGAATAAAACAGAACAGCAATCCTTGCCCTGAAGTTAGGATAGAAAGAAAGAAAGTAAAGTGAAAGAAAGTAAATATAGAACATGTTCAACAGCAAAGACTCAGAAGGAAAGATAAAGCAAGTGAGGATGATAAGGAGTTTGTGGGGGACAGAGGGTTATATCTCCAGTAGGATGGTCAAGAGTCATTACTGACCAGGTTGTGTTTGAACAAGAATAACTCTACAGATTTTTCGAAGAATAATCATTCCATTCAACATCAAGTTCAAAGGCTCTGGGCCACAGCCTGCATATGTGTCTGAAAAACTCCAGGAGGCCAGGGAGGAAATAATGACACGAGACTAACGGGACGCTGCCCAGTGCGGTGTGCCTGGCGGTGCGGACAGCGGAGCAGGTACGCAGTCAGCGTTGGTCCCTTTTCCCTTTCCACCTGCCGTACACTTAGCAAATGCTGCTGCATTGGAGTGGCATTTAATTGTTTAAAATATAAGCTCAGCTAAGTGTTGTGCAAGGGGAAATCATAAATAAACAAGACTAATAAATCCAGTAAGAAGGTACTTTTAAGATAGTGTATTTTGTGCTAGATCAGGCAGAGGTTCGGAAGCAGTGGGATGGCGGCCCTCCCCCACCGCTCAGGCCCTGTCTCCCCAGCGTGCCGCCCCTGCTTAAGTCCTGCCTGGCCTACTGCCACTGGCCTGTCTGCATCCCGCTCGCTCAGGACTTTGCTGCTTAATTTAAGGCTGCCAGACATGTTCTCAAGTCCTTCGGAGTCTCTGAAGGTAATAATGCAAGTCTAGAACCTTCAGATAATGTCAAAACATCCAGTGGAACCCTACACATCACCACAAAGAGCCCAGCAAGGCCGTCCAAAAAGCCACACTTGTTTCTGAATTATATCATCTCAGCATGTTACCTCAGGCCCATGGTAAACTCTGATTGAAACTTGACTGTGTCCTTGGCCAGGCGTGGTGGTGCACGCCTGTAATCCCAGCTACTTGGGAGGCTGAGGCAGGAGGATCACACATTCAACTTCAGCCTGGGCAGCCTAGCAACTTAGTGAGATTGTGCCTCAAAATTTAAAAAGGGGGAGAGGGGAGCCATGGGAGTAGCTGGGTACAAAGGCTCTGGGTTCAATCCCCAGCACAACACAAAACAAAGCAAAAACCACTCAGTATCTCAGCAAGCACTTTCCTAGCCTCGCGAGGCCCATAAAAAGGAAAAATACGAAGAGTGATGTGTCCTTAGTTTTCAAAAACTTGGTGAATGTTTGTTTTCTCAACAGGAGACGCAATAGCGGGGAGAGATGACAGACTCTTGGGTTGTGAGCAGCTTGGCATCCCGACGGCAGCGATGCTCACAGCCCAGCAGGCCTGGCCGCCCGGCCGGAGATGGCATGTGCGCTCTGTCGGGGCCGGGCGGTCCACAGCTGCTGGGCACAGCCTCGAACGCGGGCACAGCACCCTGCAGGGCACTGCCACCTCCCAAGTGCGCCGGCTGTGGACCAACGCTCAGCACCCAGCGACCTCTCCGGCCAGTCGCCTCAGACAGCCACCAGCCGGGCCGGGGCTCCCGGCCACCCCTGCTCACAGCAAAGCCGCGTTGTTTAACGATGTGGTGTTTTAGGCCCCACAGCTTTGCACCCCTGACCTCGCCATTCGCTCACCCTGTGCGCTCTCCCACCACAGCTGGACCCCACCTGCCGCATCGCCTAATCTCAGCCTGCGCCCCCATAACTTGTCCTGTTCCTGCACAGAAACTAAAGCATGGTGAGAGGGGTGTAATTCATTTTTGTTTGGAGTTCTTTGGGTTTTTTGTGGTTTTTCTGAGACAGGGTCTGGCTATGTAGCCCAGGCTGGCCTTGAACTCACCACAATCCTCCTGCCTCAGCTTCCCGAGTGCTGGGGTAAGAGGCGCGTGGGACCACACCCACCACAAGATTTTATTTCATGAAGGCATTTCTTAGAGGAGGAGTACATGATTGTCCCTTTCTTCACTGATAGTCTTCTGTGGTTTGCCAAATCCTTTGAAATCTTTACTTTGGGTGCACAGCAAGCAGGATATGTTTACATTTATGGAAATGGTTTCAGGGCTTTACTAATGGGGTGACTTAGTAACTCTTTCAGTCAGAATGCGCTTTTACATCTTACTATCCTGCTTATCTTCAGAAAAATATTTTCTGTCATATCTAGGCTCAGCCTATTTGCATAGAAAGGAGAACTCTTTAGAGATGCAGGGTTTGTCAAGGACAGGCACAACTGCCGCACAAAATCAGTTCCAAGTGAACCCATCAAACAAAAGCAAGAAGGAGCAAGAAATAACAATAACAAAAATTGTAACCACTCTTTTCACAATATTTTTTTCTCTTTGAGACAGGGTCTGGCTATGCAGTCAGGCTGAACTTGAGCCCCCTTTGTAGCCCAGGCTGATCTCAGACTTGCAACAATCCTCCTGCCTCAGCCTCCCAAGTGCTAGGATTTACAGGCGTGCCCCACCACGCCCGGCATCACAATTTTTTTAAGTATAAAAATGACCTGCAGGTGCAGGTCTGTAGTCCCGGCACTTGGGAGACTGAGACAGGAGGATCACCATGAGTTCAAGGCCAGCCTGAACTGCCTACTGAGACCTGTCTCAAAAAAAAAAAAAAAAAAAAAAAAATAAAAGCAAAATCTGTTTGTTTCCTCTTCTAATACATCTTGGCACACCCAGGGCCAGTGTGTATTTTCGAGAGGCATTTCTTCTGGTACTTTCTATGTATACAGATGCACTTTTTTTTTTTTTTTTGGAGACAGGGTCTCACTGTGCAGTTCAGACTGGCCTTGAGCTCACTTTGTAGCCCAGGCTGGTCTGGAACTCGCAAAGATCCTCCTACCTCAGCCTCCTGAGTGCTAGAAGCACATTTCTTTTCCTTTCCTTTCCAGCACTTTCTTGGTTTCATTGGCTACTATACTTGAATTAGAGGCAAGAAGGACTGGGCTCATTAACCTGGAACTTCATACAATGTGACATGAGGTTGTTTATGCATATTCCTAAGTGCCTGGTGCTGTGTGAAGCAAATCTACTACAGTATCCAGGAAATGAGAAACGCAAGAGTTCTCCTAAATCTAAATGTTCTTCCCATTTCTCTTTATCTTCTTTCTTTCTTCATGGGAATTATAATTTGAAAAGGGCCATGACAAAAAAGAAGCATCCTCTCAAAAACCCCAGGCCAGGCTTTCCCTGCAGGTGTCCCGGGAGTCTAGCTCGCTTGGCCCACCAGGTCAGGGTGTGAGAAGAGCAGGACAGCCAGTCTTACCGTCTTCTTGGGAACTGGTAGGAATCAGGGTCAGCTACAAGAAAATGAAAGCAAAAATTAGGTCCAACAGGCACCAATGACACGAGAAAGGGGAAGGAGCCGGGCTGAGTAACTATCTGGGGAAACAGCTGGGTTCCATCTGTACCAAAGTGCACCACAGGTAAATCAAGGAGCTGAATATGCTTTTTAAAAACTGGGGTTGGGGGAGAGCACCTCATGGATCACTGAATTTCAATCATCTAGAGTTAAAGGTGGTGAAAGAACAACATAAATAGATTAAAGTATTAAAATTTAAGATGTCTGTGTCAAAAATTAAACCTTAAGGAGAAAATAAAAATTTGGAGAACTACCTGGCAGCAAGTATGATAAAGGTATACTGATTGATAAGTCACAAGGCAACCCCCCCCCATGGGAGATTTAAGCTTTTTTATTAAGGAGTTAATAAAAACTCCTTTCTCTTCACCTGTTCTCCTCCAGTTCCCCTCGACAAAAGCCAACCTCGCCCTCATCCGCCTTGGCAGAACCAGACGTTCAACTCTGATGAAGGACACCCCCTGCTCGGGCTGTTCTGGCCCACCAACACCCCCTCCTGGAAAATGTTCTGGCCCTCAGACACCATCCCCAAAAGTTAGCTTTAAAAACCCCGTGCTTTGCTCAGCCCAGGGCTGTTCTTGTCTGCTGGCAGCCCGCCACGTCACTCCCCCAATAAAGACTCCTCTTGTGTCAGAAGGTCTGGTCTGGTTCCGTGTGGGTCTCGGCCCGATCATATCACTAATATTTAAAGAGTATAAATGCATAAGCTAAGAATAAAATACTAACATAGGTGACAAAAATAGACAAGAGGTAGAAAATCCATCTATTAAGACATATGAAGTACTAATAAACAAGAAAATATTCCAACTTGCTTACAATAAAAACAATACAAATAAAAAAACTATATTTTGCAAAATTTCTTTACCAAGAATAATGAGGCTGGAGGGGTAAAATGAAATGAGTACTCATGCACTGCTGTTAAAAGTTTCTATTAGAAGGGGCTGGGGATTTAGCTCAGCGGCAAAGCGCCTGCCTGGCAAGCGCAAGGTTGTGAGTTCGGTTCCTGGTACTGGAGAAAAAAAACAAAAAGACAAAACAAAACAAAAAAGTTTCTATTAGAGCCAGGCGTGGTGGCACATGCCTGTAATACCAGTACTTGGGAGGCTGAGGCAGGAGGAGTGTTGCTAGTTTGAGACCAGCCTGGGCTACAAAGGGAGCTCAAGGCCAGTCTGAACTGCATAGGGAGACCCTGTCTCAGACAGACAAAACAAAACAAAAAGTTTATATTAGTAAACTCTGAAAAAATTTGGAAGTATGTGTCAGCGATGTTTATATTTCTTCATCCATTTCTAGAAATGTACCCCGAGGAATTAATTCCAAGTATGGGCAAAGATTTATGCACAAACATGGTCAACGTGGTGTCTTCTCACAACCGGAGATGTCCAAACCCAAGAAACGGTTGAGAGAGTGAACGTTCATGTCTGGAAGGTTTTTTGTTTGTTTCTTAAAGCCGGGGAGTGCAGGCGCGGGGTCTGAGGTCCCAGCCTTCCCAGTACCGCTCCCTGCCCTGGGGTCCGCGGAGGGCACCGGGCAGGGCGGCCGGGTGGCCAGGTCCCGCGGGGAGCGGCCGGCTGCTTCAGTGCGTGTCCCGGGTACGTGTGCACGTTACAGTCCCCGCCTGCTGCGGACGAGACAACCGGCTCCACCCACGGCGCCCCGGGTCAACGGGCAAGCCAAGCCAGCTGGAGAAGAGCGCGCGGTAGGACAGGGTGCGGCCCCCCAGCAGGTGGGAGACGTCTGTTTCTTGCTTTTTGAGACAGGGTTTCACTATGCAGCTCAGGCTGGTCTTGAACTCACGGTACTCCTCCTGCCTCAGCCTCCCCACTGCTGGGATTACAGGCGTGCGCCCAACACCCGTCGGGAACCAGTTTTTTAAAAGTACATACAATTGAACTTTTAAACTCGGTGTTTTCTGCTGTGTTACTTTTTTGTTGTTTTACTTTTTAAGGATGAACTGACTCAAACCTAAAGAAGTGGGCGAGTGGTCTGTGAAAATGTCATGGTGCTGTCATCCGTGAAAGCGGCAGCTTTGGAGCGCGGGTGTTTCGTGCACTCCCAGCCTGGCTTTCAGCTTTCAAGCCGAGGTCGAGGTCCGAGCAGGTGTAATGTCGCTAACAGCTCCTGGGATCTTTAAGAAACTCCAGGTCTCAGGCCATTCCCCACGCGGAGCCCGCAGCCTTTGGGAGCCGGATGTGGGCATGGGATTCTGTGAAGAGGACCAGGGTGATTCTTATGGTACTGTTCAACGCGAAGACCCGGCCTGGACTCCACTGCCCGGCCCCAAACCCCGTCTCCTCGCACCCTGGGCTCTAGCTCAGTGTGCAGCGAGGCGAGTTCTCGCCTCGCAAGACAGGCAGGGGAGGCCTGGGATATAGCTTAGCGGCACAGTGCCTGCCTGGCAAGCACAAGGTCCTGAGTTCGATTCCTGGTCCCCCCCCCAAAAAAAAAGGCAGGGGAAGTTAAATAGAGTAAAACACCCTTCTCGGCGGGCACACGGTACACAGTAAGCCACAGCTCTTGCTCTAAAACTTCAGGAGCCAAGAGGCCGCTCAAGTATGTAAGAGTAAACGACCGCAAGCAACTGTGAAGTTTACTTATTAAGGAAGCGTTTCCTTTGAAGGTTCAAAGTATGAAAGTAAATATTAGTGAAATGTACTGTGGACATGTACTCATGTATTTTCATTGGGTTATCTGTTTGCATGCTGCCCTCATTGGAGATTTGCTTACATAAAAACACACACATGCTACCATAGGATGAGTCTCTTTTTAAGATGAACACTCCAAGGAGACAGAAAAACGGTAGATGGAGAACTCAGCCCAGGCAACCGAGGGAGATCCTTCTAAAACTGCGGAAGAAGGGGAGAGGGAAGAGAAGGGGAGGGTGCTCTGCCCAGCGGCCTTGTGTTCCCTTCCCCAGTACTGGGAAAACCTCTCTACAAATATACAAGACTTGATGGGAAGGAGGACACACTTTCGTTTCCTCTTTCAAAGCTTACTTTTGATACATGTTCCATGAAACCAAGAAAAATAAGCAAATTTCCAGTAACACACCATAAATGGCTGCATATAAGGCAAGATTAAAATTTTTTTTTCAAAACAGTTTACCTTACATGCAGGTCTAACAAGAACACATGAGACACTTTCTCCGTTAGTTTCCCAATAAAAACTAATCAAGGAAAACATGTCGGCCGAAACAACTGGAATAAATGCAAGTATGGGATAATCACAGAGCTCCCCCTGCCAAAACCAGCACTGAAAATGGGACAGGAAGGGGCAAAGAAATCTAAAATGGATTTAGTAATTATTGTTGGGAACCTGATCTTAAAATCGTTGGGTGTTGCTCAAAACAAGCTCCCGCATTCTACTGAAAAGCAAAGCAGGAGCACATAACACAGTAAAGAACGTGACTGTAGGATGAAGTACGCCCAGAGGACAAACGCCGTCCGTGGGTTCCCATGGTTACATCGCGTGAACGGGTGCTGGTGCCTCGTCTCCCCCAACCCTGTTTCCAGCGACAGCGTCAGGGCCGTCTTACTCCTAGTCAGATAACGGAGCTGGGGTGGTGAGGCACACACCTGTAACCCCAGCACTCCTGGAGGCTGAGGCAGAAAGATCACCGAGAGTTTGAGGCCAGCCTGGGCTACACAGCGAGTTCACGGCCCGTTTGAATTACAGAGAGACCCTGCCTCAGAAGAAAGAATGCGTGACAATTGTGTGCGGAGGTCCTGACTATGGCTGGGCTGAGGGTCCACGCCGTGTCTGCGTGCCACGAACGCTGGTGTGTCCCTCTCTGTCTTATTAGTTCTCTTAGCGCATAGACGTCTTGGGAAAGGCCTGGCCTGGACCCTGTGTGGACACGGCTGGACAGAGGCTTTGGTCACCCTGACACGGGGCTCCCGTGCAGGGCTGGGGAGGGCAGGTGTGGGGAGACTCAGGTGTGGGTCCACCCCGAGCCCGTCCCTGCTGCTCTGTGTGTGACCTCTGAAGAGCCGCTTTAACCCTCCTGTGCCTCAGTGTCCTCACTGTACGTGAGGACTGCAGCTGTGCTTACTCAGCCGGTTGTCTCACAGCTCCGAGGAGGCCCCGGGAATGCGGAGGGCCCCCAGGGGCGAGGGACCCAAGCTCAGTGACCGCGGGGGGCGGGAAGTGCTGAGGAAGGCCCGCCGGGTGACTTTCATGCTGCCGCGGTTCTCATCTGAGCCTTTGGCATGGAGGAGGGCGAGCGTGTCCACTCCCTGTCCCACTGAGCGACTCCACCTCCAGCCGGAGACAAGAAGCAGAGTGTTTCTGGCCCTGGTGAGGGCTTTCAGGAAGGAACTGATCCGCTCAAAGTGCCTGGTGAGGCAGCAGAAGGAGGACACCAAGGTTGGGAATGAGCCCTGCTAGGAAATGACACTTGAACTGTGAGAGGGAAGACAGGAATAGCCGTGCAGAGCACAGACAGGGCATGGCCATGCAAAGGCCCCATGGTGTGAGAACCCAGGAGGGCAGCTGAGATGAAATGTGGCCATGCAAAGGTCCTGTGGTGCACGGCAGGGCAGCAAGGGACTCTGGGAGAACCGTGGGACTCCGGGCTGGCTCAGATCTCCGCGGGCCCAGGGCAGGTTCTATCTTCTTCTAAGGGCACCAGGAGACGCCCCTGAGGACCTGGAGCAGGACAGTGAAGGGCACCCTCCTCCAGAAGCCATCAGGGCCCTGTGCTGGGCTCCCCTTCGGGGTTTGGTGACCGCAGCACCTGCAGGGAAGGCTGCCCCTGCCGGAGGCCGCAGCCCTGGGTACCTGGGACCTGAGTGCGGGTCCTGAGCGCGGGTCTGCAGCGCTGCCTGCTCAGAATTGGCATCAGGGACAGAGGCAGGTGTGCCTACCCCACCCAACTCTGGCCACTGAGACAATGTGCTGCTGCCTGACTTGGGCCCTCCCGTTGAGCTACAGCCCAAGCTG